TGTCGTGCTGCAGGTATTCCCCCCGCACCCCTCTCCTTCCCCCGAGGCCTGTGCCCAGCGCCGCCGCGGGGCTGGGCAGTCAGTCGTTACTCAGCGTCTCGTCCCCGGTTTCTGCGGGTGCCCATGTGCCCGTGCGCTCCGGTGACACAGGCGTGACTCTCCCACGCCGCGGTCCCTGGCCCTGTGCGAAAGGGACAGCTCAACCCTGCTGGAGATCGGGCGGTAACCCCGCTTTGCCTGGGTGAAACGTGCAACTGGTGTGTTGAGTGTTTGATACCCTTTGTGGGAGCTGGGGAAGAGTTATTTTAGACCATAAACAACGAGATACAAATCCTGCCTGTCTGGTTCTGTACAGTGAGATACTTGGCATGCTTTGGGGCATGCTGAAAACGTAGTAATTATGAAAGAATCATCACTTGTTTTTCTGTCAAATTATATTTACATTCTCCATTTTACTGTGGCTATATAACAGTAATCCCAAATTCACATGCAACTGAGTGCTGCAAATGTTGCATTAAAAAAGGAAAAAGCAAACCTAGCAGTAAAAGTAAAGTGAAGATAACTGTATGTACAGTTTCATTGTGCGGTAACTTTTGACAGACGCATTAATTTGAGGCACTTCAGGAAGGCACTTTCAGTCTGTGAAAAACATTTGACCGTAATAATGGAATAATTGCAATCCAGAAACACTGTAAATCATGGTTACGTGTCACTCTGAATACTCTAGTAATAGAGTCAGTTCTTTAATCTCAAATATTACGCCATCCTGAAGAGAAAACACAAGAGTATATTCCTGTCAAACATGGTGAGTCCAAATTAAAGGAACTAAGATATTCCAAACTTTATTTCATGGTTTATAAGTATAACTTTAAGATTACTTAAATGGCATAATTACTCTTGGATGCCTTAACACATGTAAGTCTGTGTGCATGTTAGCAAGTAGTGAGGCCCAGGAGTGGCAGATTTGCAGAGAGAAACGGTTGTCTCTTTGAAAACAGAATATCCACATTCTATGTTTTTCAGAAGGGCTTCCTTTGAGCTAAGTCTACTGAATTCCTTAGTATTTGGACTTCTTTAGAAGTACTTCTAGAGTATGTTTTCTGGTTTTATTTCATCTAGAAAAGAATCTACTGTTGTTGTCCTTGTCCATCTTTTGAAGTGAACGAAAGCACAGTAAGTGGGATGTTTGGGAAGTTTGCTTCTCTTGCCCACTCCTGATTCTAACCAAAATGCTGAAATGGAGGCTTAACTCCCTTCTACTGTATTTTCGAGTGTTTTATACTCAAAAATGTGGAAGATCTTGGTGTGCTAAGTATTTCTTTGCTTTTAATGTCTTCTAAAATCTTTATGCTAAGGATATTTTGAACAGTAATAAATTTATCTTAATATAATTGTTTAGTATTAACAAACATACCCTTTACCTGATCATTTGGATCAGGTGGCACTCTCATTTTGCATAGAGCAGACTTGTCTTTGCGCATGAGTTGTGAGAGTCCCAAATAACTTTGTCCTATGGTTTAGGCAAACATAGCGCAACAAGTCTCCTTGTCATGTCATCCCCCGCTTCCCCTTCCCAGTTTTATAAGATGAGAAGATGTGTTCATATAAATTCAGGTCTAATCATAGACCCGTCTTTCTCCCTGCACTGGGCATGCTGGTGTGAGGGGGAGGAGTGGTTGGTCAGTCAAAGGATTCATGTTTGTGTCTGAGTGCTGGCATTTTAGCTGTCCCCTAGTATTCGACCACTGAAAGTTTCATGAGGGAGGTTTTAGGGGTAGAAAAAAAACCTTTGTGGTATTTGTAGTGTAAGTCCTGTTTATATGCAATCCTTAGTTAAACCATAGGTAATATGTTGATGCAAATGTGTGTAGGAACAAAACCTGAAGTGAGCAGAAAATAACTGGTGAAACAACCACTAAGTTGTATGAATTCAGCCTACTATGACTGCAGTGGGGATAATGTATGAGGACGCACCTGCAGTTTTCCCTGCCCCCCCACCTTCAGTTCAGAGATTAGCAGTGTGGAGAGGAAAAAGCTCACTTTGCTGTAATAAATCACAGGCTCTATCACAAAAGTAACTCCATCTCCAGAAGTATGCTGTATTTTTCAGTTAAGGCCCCTTTCAGGGAGGGAAATTTTGTTCTTGTTAAGTAATATGAAGGGATACCTTAGTATTTTGTATAAATGTGAGTTAGCAGGTCAGGATGAGGCTCAACGGACCGGTCAGTTACTGAAAAGGAGGGGGAAGTACGCTATGAAGGGCAAATTGACTTTAGAAGCATTGGTGAAATACAAATACATTGAGTTTAATCATTAGACATACTTCGGAGAGTGGAAGAGGTAGCCTAGGGTATCAGTCACTCAAAATGCCTTTAAATGAGAGCCTGGATCTTAAAGAATATTCAGTTAATCTTTAGAATCATGTTGAGATAATTTGTTTGTGAATGACTTAATTTGAACTGTCAAGATAATGTTTGTAGGTGTTTGTTTGGATTCCAGTCTTGGCCCGCTGACCAATACTTTGATAAATAAATAGATAGCATTTACTATTCCTGTTTACGCTTCTTTTAAGATCAGTATTTTATATGCTACCATCCCAAAAACACTTGTTTAGAGCTCAGCTAGTAAGGCCGTATCTTTTAACATCGTATGTCACATAGGAAATGGTCTGCAGTTTCCTGATGGGAAAACTGAAATGCAGCTTTCTGTAATTTGGTGGAGGTCTTTACTAGAATTACCATTTGAAGTCTGCTCTTCTGTGTCTTTTTTTTTTTTTCCGTATTATATAAATATTGCCAGTTCTGATGAACCTATGCTTTTCTTTTTTCATAGAAATGTTTCTGAAGTTCTTTCGGACTTATGTCTAAAATACTCATAGAATTTTGTTTCAGTTTCACATACTGTGTAGAACAGTTATGGAAACAAATCGGAGGTAGAACACTAATACAAGGAACAAGATTATGAATATAATTTCCAAAAAGTATTTTCTTTGACTTTCAATATATTTGCTTCTCAATTCCTACAGGTTCTTTCTTGTGTCCTTCTAAGTTAAGACTCATTAGGACCACAGATGATTAATTTAGTATTCATTATAAATATTTTGACATACACACTTGAGAATAGATTCTGACATTAAAACAAAATAATTAATGTGGTTTGTTCAACTGTGGCAAGGAGTAGAATATGTAGCTACAAATACAAAGGTATTTGTCCCTTAAGTAAAGGCAAGAGTTGACACTAGATGTTATTTGTGCATGCTTTGTTATGCCAGTTTACGCCTTATCCTAAGTGAACATTTTATTATCTAACCTAGTTCTTACTAAAAAAAAAAAAAATCAGTTTCTACTAGTATTTTTTGGGTGTTGTGTTTGTGGATTTGTTTTGTTGTTAGGTGTTTTGGGGTTTTTTTTAGGTGAACTGTGCCTTTAGGAAGCCTGTGCATTGTTGTTATCTTCCCAGAGTAACTCTATTTAAGTACCAGCAGAATTCCAGCAAAATCCCATCACTTATAATACTTCAAAGGAGTCTCTGAAATCCTTTCAGTCCTATTTCATTTTTTATCAGTAAAACAAACCAAATCCCACAACATGATTTTTATCCCTGATCCAAAAATTAAACAATTAGTGTTGTGTTAAATAATGGTAAACTGCAAAGTAGTAGTATTTTTTCTGGGTTTGATGTGGACTGCTTTATATCATCTTCTGAGGGAAACTATTAAAACCTCTGCTCTGTGGAAAATTTCTATGATTACATGGTATCGATCCTTTGCTTTTTGTCTTTAAAATCCCAGCTTCTGGAGTCTTGTGACTAGTAGTTATCTCAGGTTCCACCCACCCGCCCCCCACACCCCAAGTTCTCATATAGCTTGCAAATATTAAAAAAAGTGAATATTTGGGCTTAAAACCTGGAAAACAAATTAAGACTCTCAGTGCAGACTTAAAACTTGCCAGACTTCCCGTGATTCTTTTTAATTCTCGCTTGTGACTTGACAAGAGTCCAAATGCTGTGGTATGAATTATGTTGCAGAAATACAACCTAATAATTTTTAAAAAGCTCATTTATGTAATTAAGCTGTGAACAATATTATCCAGGTGTTTAGACTAATAAAGAATACAATTTAGAATTTTAATTATGAGTGTGCTAATCATCTGAAGAGGAGACCTACTTTTTTCTAGAGGAGAAAGCATTGTTCTTACAAAACAAAGCTTACTACTTGCTTTTTTTAATCACTTTTTTCTTTTAAAGTCTTTTTGAACTAAAGAAGGAGAAGCAATAAACATGAACACTAAAATGCTTGTTCATTCCTTGTCAGCATAACATGAATCAGCAGCTATTAACTGCTGTAGGCATTCATCTGTAACATAACTTTATTTCCTTAAAAGGAGAGGTAGCTGGGGGCAAGGACATCGATATAAAACTTCAGAAAAAAGCCTCTGCAGTGTATTTTGAATAATCTCTCTTATCCAAACAGTCTTGTTTTAGCAGCAGTAAGTTTTAGTTGTCCCTTTGTACTTTACATCTGTGGATGACAGAATTTTTTTATAGGATAAAGTAAGTGTGAATGTCTACCCTAAGGGAACTGACAGAGACAAGTGACATGCTGGAAGTTACTCAATAGATCAGTGTAGGAGTCAGGAGTAGCACCCAGAGTTTGTTTTCTTCAGGCTTTTGGGGGGGGGGGGTGGGGGGGGGGGGGGGGGGGTGTCTACAGTGCCTTTTTTCCAACTGTTCAGGAACCTAAAGTGTTCTAAGTGTACAGATAATATTACAAGCATGGTGATAGCTGAGCAGACCTTTATTGTCTGCTAGATGATAAATTAATCTTGATAGTTTTATTGTGATGGTGATCACATCTGAAATTGCACCTGGATGTCCAAGTTCAGCCAGCTCAGCAGTGGCAGCAAAGGTGTCCCGCCTGGGTTCTGCAGCTGCTGAAGCTTTCAGAGTTTCACGCTGTGCTTTCTCTTATTTCAACAAGTTTACCTGTGTAGAAGTGAGGGTTACTGGGATTACTGCAGAGGACTGATATCCAGTATGGTATTAGCAGATGGTTGTTCACTAAGTAAGTAAAGATTAAGAAACAGCGTTTGGTTTACTTTTTTAGTAAATTGAGTAACTTTTGGGCTGGATCATTTACAGGATATTTATGGTAGTTGAAGGTCAGCAGAAAAACCCCATGTGTGTAGACTGAGTTGATGGTGATGGTAGAGCCACTCTGAGTCTAGGAATAAAAAAATAGCTCTTTATAGGAATATCTGAAATGGATTTATTGACTGACTGATAGAAAATAATGCTCTTTAAAGGAAAACACTGAGTTAATAGGATATAACTCCTGTAGCTCATTTATGTTTGCTTGGGTCTTGTTCGTACCATTTCTATCTTAGTAGAGCTCAAGACAGAAGAACCACAGATCAATTTGTGCTCGTTTATTGCCCCACTTGCTATAAAGTGTATTACAGGTGATGGTAACAAAGCACAGTCCTGTGTTTTATTTGACAGTGAGCGTTTCAGACAATCATTAGGTTTGGGTGGTAGACGCAATTGAATCCAAATCAATTTTGTGGGATCCCACAGGCATCTTGGTGACCATTACCTACTGGATTTTTTTTCCCAGGTCCTTAGATTTACTGCCAAGAGTTTAGATTGTGAGTTTGGCACATCAGCTATGTCTCTCCTGAAAGTGCAAGCCTTCTGAGTAGTAAATGCATGACCATTATTGATTTTCATGTGCTCAGATTTTGTATTTTTACTGACATTGGAAACATTCAAGCTCAGAATGTTCAAAAAGTATTTTGGTAAGTGTACACAAAACTTTGGTGTATCATGATGTAAAATAGAAGCAGAAGTGACTGTGATTTGCGCTCTCAAACCTGTATCTCAGTTTTAAGGGCCATTTTAGTATTCTTTGGCTGTTTGCCTTAAAGAGTCTTGGAGCCTATGGAGTTCATTTCTGTGACTCATTCATTCTTTCTAGTTGTGAATTTTCTTCTAACGCCACCAGCAGATCTTTCCAGTGTCAGCTGGTCCAAATTTAAAAACACTCTTTAGCTGTAAAAGCGTACCCCTTTTGTATGTTGAAATCTCACCCTTTTCAGGTTTTGTGGTGTTTAAGTATAAACTAAAGGACACTGAATTTACCACTGTGTTAGCCGTCTTGCTGTTGTTCTGAGTTACTCTGTGGTAAAGTTCCTGGCAGCTGGCATAGGCAGGCAGAGACACCTCCAGCTGTTATTTTTGTCATCTTTGTTCAGAAAAAATGATGCAAGTATACAAGAAACCAGCTATCAGCATACAGAATTGATGTTACGTGACTGTTTTTTCTAAGCTACTGAAAAGCTTTGCTGTAAACTATATGGCATTTTGGGGGATTTTCTAACATTGATGCAAAATGTGAGATACTCTGTCTAATAAAGTCTAAAAAAGTTCTTACTGTTAATTCACTGCATTGGATTATACTATGTTTTATTTATTTAGTCTTGTTGGTTTTTATGATCGTGTATGTTTGGCATTTGTTATTAATAAAATATTTTGGACAGAGCATTTGTGTGTTAGAAATTCTCTACAGAGAAAAGCTGGAATTCTTTGGTAGTTTTCCAGTGGGCATCTGGATAAGTGGCAATGATTTGGGATAATTGCTGCTGATGTTAATATTTGTAGTGAGCTGATGGGTGGTACAGTTGCTTTATTGTTCTAAGGTTTTGAATGTTGTCTTAACATCTGCATCTTATTGCTATTGCTTCTGGTTGGCCATATAACTTTCCCCTTTGAATGGGATTTCTGCTTGTTACAAGCTTTTTGCAGCCACAAGGGACTTAATCATTATGGCAAATTGTGAAGTTTGGGCTCAACAATACAAAAAAAGGCTTGCATTGAGTATTTTAAGTCAGTACGTGTACACTGTGTGTTTTGCTATCTTTTGCATAAGGGGGAAAATTACTCCTCAGCATTAAATAATTGAGAAAGTGGTAGTGTACCAAATCCTGACTTTTTAGGAGTGGTTTGCTAGGAAAACCTATTGTAAAAGGCATTTACTGAGTTTATTATTATTATTTTAATATATATGTGTGTGTATATTACATAAAATTATGTATTATATAAACAATACATTATTTTTATATTTACATATATTACTCGAGAGTATAGATCTTTTTTTTGTGAAATGCAATACAAAACTCCTTCCAGGACTGTGTAACTGAATTTTCAGACATACTTAAACATTAAGCAGTTCTTTTGCCTTTTCATAAATGTACACTGGCTTCTATGCATGCTTTTGTCAGCTTCAGTGACAACTTGATGCTTCAAAGCTTCCTTCACCTCTCGCATAACACTCTTCCTGTTGACCACAGGATGTTGAGTGAGACTTTTAGATGTTGCGATGGTGCTGCTGAGCATGAAAGTTAATCTACCTTGTGCCAGATTTGTATGCCTGTGGATGAGAAAAACATCACACTATTACGAGTTTTATCCTGGTACTATGTTCCTACTCTTATGCTATCCATTCCAAGGTAATAGTATCTATTATTATTTTCCTTCTGTAACTTAGCAAGAACAGTTCCTTATAGCTTTATCTGGTCTCAGCCATAATGATTGTCATCTTTGGAATATATATATTTTTATTTTTTTTAAGTATTACATGGGGAGGCTTTATGGGTTACCTAAAGATCTGCAGCAAGTGACTCTTTAAAGCAGAGATTTGGGGGAAGGGAAGTAGAGGATCATTTAATGAACTTTTATACTGCAGTCAACTAGGAGTTAAAGAGCAGTAATTGCTACCAGTTGTAAGCAAGTAGATGAGCAAACCTGCAGTCTAATTTTAAAGTACCTTACTATACTTCACAATTACCTCCATGTTAATAATATAAGATAATGAATAATTTTAAATGAGAAAAATGAGCCTTGGATGAGATCTGTATTTGCCAATGAATCTTGATAAGCATCTTGCTCTGATCTCAATGCTGTGTACTTAAACAAATGTATATTCCTTTTTGAAATGTTGTTGCAGTGCTAATGTTCATTAAAATAATAAGTGTTTTATATGTTCCTTGAAAACAAATATGTATATATCTAGTCAATTAAAAGTAGAGATGTCTAAATTTACTGAAGATACGGTAATTTTACAGGTAACTGTTAGGCATAGTTTTCCTATTGAATTATATGCTAGTAGGGAGGAAAAAATGGAGTTACTTCACTTTGATAAAGCAGAATAATGTTTTATAGCCAGTATTTAGGAGAAAATACTTTTGCCCTTAGGCAAAACATTTCTTATCTCAATATCACTGTCTCATAAAGAATGGAGACTTCATAGTAGCATGTTTGTTGTGTTTTCAAAGCAGAACTTGATTCATTCAGCTGCAAGTGTTTCTTTATGTCGTTTTTATACTATTGCATTTTCTTTGTTTTTTTTTTTCTCCTGTCAAGACTATGAGGTTATTAGGTGTACGTCAGGTAAGAGGAATTTGAGGAATGCTCTCATACTGACAGTACGAGTTTTCTTCCACTAACTGAGGATTTGTAGTTAGTGACCTTTCACATTGTTTCTTCTTTAATCCCTTCAACCTGTGATGTGAGGACTTTTAAGTTTTGGAAGATCTTTTTGGACTCTCCTTATTTTTGATGCTAACTGCCATATCAAATATTGTAAAGAATATTCTTGCTTGTTTTTGTTTTCTAGCATCTTTTCAGTCATGTTGTTTGTTGACACTGACTTAATGAATGAATGGCGATTTAAATATACAGTCATCTGATGACTTTTGGAATACTTTTACAAGTTGTGCCTACTTTTAGTTTTCCCTACTTAAGTGCTAATTTTAAAATAAAAGTAGCATGGTAGAATCAGTGTTTTATTCTGGTTACCAAGGAAACAATTTGTGTTATCATTGTTTGTAGTGTCCGTTTTCCTTCTTTTTAGTTACTTGTTGCTGATTTCATTTGACTTGTCTGAGAGCGGGGGGGGGGGG